GGGGGCCCTGCCGAGGGGCCTCCGCTGTAGCCTCATTCACGTGGCGCCCCGGGCCCTTCCTGCACCCACTCCTCACCCGCCCAGGGCAGGACCACGCCCTGCCCCCCACTATGAACGTGGGACGGGGGATGACACCCCTGGCCTGACTTACAGAACAGAGTCCCAACCAGAAGCACAGTAAAGCAAAGAGAGTCTCCTTCGCCGATATCCCACGAGACGACGTCCTGCCCCGACAGGTTCCGCGGGGTTTTCCGACACGTCCCCCCATCTAAAGTACACATATAAATTTTCAACCGTGTAAGCGTGACAAGATACGCTGATCGAGATTTTTAAAACGCAAACGCGCTGGCGTGCAGGTTAGTAGGTGTGGGGCGAGGGGAGGCGAGGCCGGGGGTCTGCGTGTCGGAGGGGAGGGGGCGAGCGTCCGGGGCCTGGCCTGGCGTCCGCGGGGAAGGGGGCGAGGCCAGGGCCCAGGCTGCGGATCTGTCCCGTAACACGCAGATTAAAAAATGCGAAAGGGAAGGAAAGAAAGGAGAGCACACAGCTGCCGTCCCCCAAACAGACCTCCCATCTGCCACCCACGATTTGCATGTCACCTTCTCCGGGCTCATTTGTACTTCATTAACTGCCATTGACTTAACAAGATTTATGCAAATGACACCGCAGGAGCTCCCCAGCTCCCACTGCAATCAAGTGATTATGTATGTACAACTCCGCAGCGATGAAAAATTCATACGCGGCGGCCCACGCGCCGGGCCGGCCTCTGGCTTTCTCTTCTCCTTGCTTTGCTTTTTAATTTTTATTCCGGTAGACCCGATCTTATTAGTACAAAGAGAAGGAACTATCTGAGCCAAATCCCCTCCAAGGCTTCAGAAATGACAAAAAAAAAAAAAAAAAAAAAAAAAGGAGGGGGGAGGGAGGGGGCCCAGGTCCTCAAGAAATGAAGTTATTTTGCAGAAAATAAGCCATGTTCTTGATGAGACGCCTTTCACTGGGGAACCGGGAAGAGATGAAATCCCGGCCCACGGCGACCCGCTGGCTCCCACCCGGGAGGAAGCCTCTGTCCTCACAACGAACAGGCTGTGAAACGTGGTGATTTAATTCACCGCAACACGGACAATCTGCACCGACACGAGTCAAGCGTGCTCACGACGGCCTCGTCTGTGTCCCAAATCAGCCATTCCTNACTCGGCCTCAATCACAGACACCGGCCAGCCCCCAACCCAGCACCATGGCCCGCCCCAGGGAGGTCTCAGGCTCCACAGGGCCCGCGAGCCGGGTGTGGGCCGCACACGCAGGCCAGGCCCCGAGCGCGCCTGAGCGCCGAGACAAAGGGCGCTGGCGATAGGGGCAGGACACGCGGGGCGAACGGCATCTGGATGGATGAAAAGGCCCGTCCCCGGGGGCCGAGGAGCGGCCTGCGCCCTCCCTGGAGAGCCGCCTTCCTGCAGGCACCGTCCTAGGAGTTTCTTCTACGCGAGCACAGGTATTTCTGCCCGCGGCCAGGGGTCGGGGCTCACCTATGTCACACACGGGCCTTTGCTCTCTGAAGACTTCTTGCCGAGGCCGCGGAGAGAGCATGGGCGCTGGGGTGGGAGGGCCCAGGTCCAACCCTGGTCCAACCCTGGCCCATCGCCTCCGAGCTGCCTGGTCCAGACGTGCTCACCCTGCCTGGGTCTCAGGTAAAGGAAGGAAAATACCGGGGCGATGTCTGGGATTCAACGGGGTGCCGTATGCACAGCACTGAACAGGATGACAGGCAACACTCCTTTAACTGTCCGCTCATTCCACGAAGGGACCTGCTGGGGTGTCCTGAGCATGCCGGTCGGCACTGCCCTCGGGCCCCTTCCCTCACCTCTCCCTTCCCTTCTACTAGCTGAAGTCATCCCACTGGGGGTGCGGGG